AAAGGAAGAAAGGAAGAAAAAAAGAAAGGAAGAAAGGAAGTAAGAAGGAAATGAAGAGAGAAGAGAAGGAAAAGAAATATATTAAAATTAAGTTTTAACTGCCACAACATTAAATATTCATAAGGTCGAGTTTTATCATTAACGATATTGGGCTTTGATATCAGTCTAAATATAGAAACATGCATAATTGATGTCCTAAAAATAGTCAATGAATTTACCGCGCGAATTATATAGAATCATACTTTACACAACATTGAAAAATAGCGATTCAAACTCGATATCAGTTTTTGGATTAAAAAATATATAATGAATAAACTCTAGAATGGACATTAGAACTTATTTTCCCTGCGTATTTTTAAATCTTCATGTTACTGAATAATTGATTTTCAAAATCGATTCGAAAATACTTCAAAAATATCGATCTATAAATACATTTTTAATATTCTTTAGATCTCTAAAGATTATTTATTTTCGATCGAGCATAAATGACAAAGACTTGGTTATGGATTGACAGCAAAGACGAGGCGACATTTTGGCAAGCAATTAAAGAAGCGCCAGTAACATCCCACGCCAACGACAATTAGGTTTTTAAAAATACTTCAAAAATACATATTAAAGTTAGAAATGTCTGAGTCTAAATACAAAGAAGTTATTGATACTGAGAATATATATGGCTGTATGTCAGCCTTTGCACTTAAAGTGAAATTCTATTACTTAACGATGACGGATATATCAGAGGACAAGTTTATTAGCTTTTATTGCGAGCTTGAATAAGAGGGGGTGGGATATTAARATGGATCTTAGAGGCTAATGTTAATGGTAATCGTAATACGAGCATATTGATAAGGAAATAGAAAAAGGGTGTCAAACAGGGGGTGGGATATTAAGATGGATCTTAGAGGCTAATGTTAATGGTAATCGTAATACGAGCATATTGATAAGGAAATAGAAAAAGGGTGTCAAACAGGGGGTGGGATATTAAGATGGATTTTAGAGGAATAATGTAGACGGTAATCGTAATACGGACATATTGAAAAGGAAATAGTAAAAGGATGGCAAAACAAGATGATAAAGAAAAGGAAAACCTTATCATAAGTATATTATACAGGTAACAGAAGAGAGTGGCAAAACACTGGAATAAAGTCACGCCGACGTTTCGTGACCGACCCTAATGACATGTGGCCAAGGAGTGTACCCTCGTGGGCGTAAACTCACACTTGCACCGCACACTACACTCCACAGATGATGCAATCCAGAAATAACGCGGGAAATGTAATCACACACAAACATAAACTCTTCAGTGTTGCTTATCTAGGCATAAAGTTACACGCTTGAGGTTTGCATTATTGCATAAAAGAAAAACGCCAATTAGACGCAAGAAAAAACGCAAATGATATCAGTTTCGCATGGCTCTCATTAACAACTCCATGAAGGRAAAAAAGGTGCAGACGGCTAAATGCATCAAGAAATTACCACGAAAATGCGCACTTCATTGAATGAAAGGTGTGTGTGGTTTGGTTGGTCAGTGAGCTGTCACAAAATCGAGATCCCTCATCGATCTTCCGTCATCTTTACCTTACTCATTACTCATTAGTCGTCTTAGGCAGGTTGAAATGCCTCCAACCCAGAACCCAGTTAGAGATTGGTRGGGTGGGTTGGGTCGGGTGGGGTGAAGGGGGGGGGGGGCACCGTCTAGTTCCTGGAAGAGTACTTTATGATAAAGGGGCTATAGACCTTAAAATATATTGATGGGCTGCAAACATTCCYCAGAGAGTTGAAAAACAAAAAACATTGCGGCCATCTTGGTGCGGTAACAATGGATGGTAATGAGAAATATTTTGTTAAATGGCACCAACATGGCGGCGATGACGTAACATGTACTCGAAAAATTTTGAACTTCTAAATTTTTGTGATGACCAATGCAATATGAAAAACAGATCTATTTTAAGTGATTTTGAAAACCGATTACTCTTTTTTCATAGAAGCTGTTTGCAAAAGATAGAATATAATAAATATTTAGCTTTGTGAYATTTTCAATTAAAAACAAAGTTATAAATTAATATGTGTAAACAAAGCCCAAAAAACGTCAAACGAGGAGACATCTGAGGGAACAAAGTCAACACGTGAAATAATGAATTAGCGCCAAACAACAAGACCAAAGTAAACATTGCTACACGCAAAGCGACCGCGGTTTACTATGACTTCGACTAGAGCAAGCACACGGCATCACAAAATGTCGAATCACGTCCATCACGTTATCACGCAACTCGTTACACGCAAAGGTCACACTTATTGAATCACGCCAAACAGTTATATACCACGACTGCCAATCACGCAACCGTTTTTGAATCAAGTACATCACGAATCGAAATGGGATACCACCTTTTTAATCGTTGCTTTCCTACCTACGTTATTGCCTAATAATTCTAGTATTCTTATAACGACTACGTATGGTCAAATGTAGCGTTGTGTTTTCAATTCTTTTATGAAATCACTGACCGAGAAATGATACCTCTTTGTGGTTTCAATTCTTTTAGGAAATCACTGATCGTGAAATGATACCTCTTTGTTCGACGAGAAACTGAAACTAGGACCACCTGATAAAGCTACAACAATCCTTTGCGCGCGTTCCCCGCCCCAAGATCACCTGAATTGTAACCAGCACACGATTTAGATAACTTTGCGCACCAATGTTTTCATGTCCCATTAGGCTGTGTCAAGGTTCGATAACGAATATAGGTGTCATTCAGTATAATAGAGTCAAACTATTTAGTATCATTATTAGGCATTACTTAGGTATTCAGTACAGTGACTGTAGGTAGTCGAACTAGGAAACAAGCCAGTTTCCACTAGGCGAGGTTTTCTGTATCCCATGGTGATAGAATTTGCGCGCTAAAAATCGGGGGAGAGCAAAATATACACAACAAGGGATCCTAAAAATACCGTTATCACACATTGACACTAAGAACGCCCAATTGAAGAGGGATAAAAWTGTTTTTCAACTCAGAAGGAATTCAATAACCCACACCAAGAGATTTTAGGTCTACAAAAGGCCGGTGTTTAGTGCAACGAAGTTCTCCATGAAGGATGCAAAGCCTACGCTCGACTTTAACTGCCACGCCCTCATCATAGATAGCACTGACATTGGTCAACAGGATCAGAGATTCAAATCAAGGGTGTTCCTGTCAAATTAGCAAGCATACTCATGGTCGCTAGGAAAAATAGAAATTTGGAATTTTGGTAGTGTAATTTCTAGTTGAGGAGCAATTGATATATATATATATATATGTGAGAGAAGGAGGTTTCAAATAACTCCCATTTTTAAAAAGCAATCAAATCGATATCGCAAAACAAGGGCGGATCCAGGGGGGGCAAAGGGGAGCTGAAGCCTCCCTTCAGCAGAAAAAAACGATGCTTTTTTATATTGTTTTCCGTTGTGTTGATGGAAGAAACTCAATTAGCCCCCCCCCCCCCCCTAAAATTTTGGCTGGATCCCTTGTACAAGTTACGAAAAATTTAGTACTTACRTCCAGGATTTTCTTGCTGTTAGTGGGCGGTGCTTCTTCAACCTCTTTCTTTTTTGTCTCTTTAGTCTTTTCTTTGTCTTCACCGCTCTTCACCACAGGGCCCCCAATTAAGTCGTCCTCGCCTAACGGCGAAGCACTAGGCTTTTCCTTAGTTTTTGTGTGTTGAGTTTCTTTAGGTATTTGTTCTTTAGCGGTTGAGGAAGAAAATAAATCATCATCATCTAGAGGTGTTTTTGTTTGGACTTTTTCCGTAGCTCCTGAACTAAACAGACTCTCGTCATCAAGTGCAGGAGAGGTCTTCTTTTTTTCTTCTTTTTTCTCGGGTTTTTCTACTTTACTTTTGTTTGGTGAGAACAAATCGTCATCATCCAGAGGTGACCGTACTTTCTTCTTAGTAGCCGACAAACCAGTCCCGAACAAATCATCCTCTGCATTAWCAAACAAGGACTTTTTACTCTTGTCTTCGACTACAGGGGTTTTTACATTCTCTATRGGTTTTGAGTCCACGGTAGCTTTTGGTGCTGCTGCAGTCTCCGGCTTTTTCGATGCACCAGCAAATAAATCAAAATCATCCTCTGCTGTGTTATTTAATAGTTTCTTTTTAACGTCCCTGTCATCAGACGGTTTTTTAGATGGTTTTATCTGATCAGTTTCGCCCCCCAGTGGGCCAAACAAGTCCTCGTTGTYGTTAACGAGACTTGTCTTTCCTGTRTTTGATGAGAAAAGCGAGTCGGACGATTTTTGCTTAGGAACACTTTCCTCTCTGGTAGATTTTGAACTTGCAAAGCCGAAAAATTCGTCACTCATGTCGGAATCTTTCGTCTCTTTTCGATGCATACCTTCAACATCCGGGAGATCTGGAAACGCATCAACTTGAATTTTAGTCACAAAACTATCATCCATGGACGTGATGGCAGGCTGGGGAACTGGGGCTGATTCTCCACCTATCGCTGACCCGAATAATGTCTCATCGCTGGCGCTTGCTGAAGCTGCAGCACGCCGAGCTTGACGTGTTGGTGGTCGCCGTTTAACTTGTACTCTCGCACGCTCCTTGGAAATCAAAAGAAAATGGTATTTTATTTAACAGAATTGAAGAAAAATATTTTAACAACTTGGTACGTTATTAATCAAACTTSATTCATTTGTCATAGACAATTTATTCGAAATATCTAAAACGCGACTTCAAATATTCAATAATGAAAGTTGAATGACAGGTTGCTAAAATTGACCTAGTAAATAAAAGATGTTTGTTTGAAATTTGTCTGAAATTAACTCGTAAATTGGCCTTGGTATCTCAATGAGATTTTTTATTTGTTTTGTTCTCAGTTCGAGATTAAGAGATCAAGATGGTTTGTCATCCTGACTTTACCAACAAAGTACTCAGTCGTATATAATTGTGAAGAGAGCGTATGACAGCGATGTACAAAATGTTTGCAAGATGGACAGAGCATTTGTCACTCCGACATACAGCATCAACAACTTCAAAAGCAAACAAAAAAAATAATCCACCGAATTTAGCGCCTTTAGAATCTGAGTATTTTGAATTACTCAGACTTGGCATGTGTRTAACTAGTGAATTCAATCAGTGAGTGAACTTGATGAACTTCCAAAGCAACAACAACTTACCTTYCCAACGTTTTCTAAGGTTTTAGCAACGGGAGGCTCCTCAAATGABGCCTTTTCCGAGGCTTCTTTCCTTGGTGGAGGTCCGCCTGGCCTCAACATGGCAGGGTTGAAGGCCAGGGATTTCTAAAAGCAATACAATGTCAATATATGTGAGTTAAATTGAAGAGTTGTTGTTTAATATGCATTCAATAGTTTTGGCTCTCTGTGATGTTGAACCATTTCCTTGTGCGATTCAGTCATGACGTCAAACTGGCTTGTCAAACCGGTTTATACCACTTCATTTAAATATTCTTCTGYGTATGGAAAGATATTTGATAGAATTGAGCCTGTTACCGTCCCCATCTATTATAGGCCTACCTGGAGTTTCTCTATACTTGAACCAGCCTTAGATTGCGATACGGGAGGGGTTGCCTTGGGCGAAGATAATGGAGGTGATGTCTGAATAATACAAAAAGTAATGCAAATTAAAGAGGGTGACACTTGACAGTTGAGARTAATTAGCAATATAGTCCTCGAGCCCGAATGGGYTATTGACTCACAGGCCATAAGGGCGAGAGGACTAATTGTTTTAGTTAAATCCAGCTGGTCGGTCAAATATATAGATGTAAACAAAGTTTTGAATTAAAGTTAAATGTAATGTTTTGATTTTCAAAGCTGGCACTTTTCGTTACTAGTAGTAAATAACTTATAGCCTAGCAGATAAGATAGCCTTATCCAATCAGAACGCAACATTGATGATAGACCACTAGTTAGATTAGACTAAAAACTGATATGCTCTTGGCCCTCGGAGCTTTACGCTGATCCCCAAGTGAGACCAGGACCATTTAAATTTTGCAGCTATTTTTAGAGAAAAGGCAGCACCTTCTCTTAAGATATTTTAAGACCCTGAGTGTTTGTCCGCCCGGACCGGAGATTGAACCCACGACCTCCCGCACAACAAGTCAGTGCTTTAAACAAAGTCAACCAATTAGAAAAGCAATTATAAATTGACACTAAACATGAAATTGTAATTTTGGCTCTCTGGCCGACTTGCACTAATTAACACCAGTCCAACAGGATTARGATTGAAACAAAAGCATGATTAAGAAGAAATAACGACACAGGAAACCCAAAACATGCAAGAGGTCTCAAGATAATCTGAGACTAAGAAGACATATTTTTGTGCTGACCTGCTTTGGTTTCGAGGAGAACAAATCTTCTTCTTCGTTGTCGTCAAACATTCCAAGTGGATCTAATAAGCATAAAGAGCACATAATTTACTGAACAAGACATAGAACGCATATACACTTATTATATGTAGAGGTCTTAACGAAAGGATTAGCGAGAGGGGGGACGCAAGTGGGGGTCTCATTTCCGTTACAATTCTGTTCCATCATTCTGTGGCACAAACAGCAGCAGCAACAACAGCAACAACGAAAAGAGCAACAGCAGCAGTAACAACCAAAAACAACAATAAAAAAAATTGAATGAACAACAACAAAAACAGCAGCAGCAACAATAACATCAACAACAGCAACAACAACAACAGCAGCAGCAACGACAACAACGACAACGACAACAACATAAAACAACAGCAGCAGCAGCAACAACACCACCACCAACAATCACGAAATCGACGAAACCACAACACAGTGTTTTGTTGTTGCTTTTATTATACTCCTACCTTTCGTTTTCGGTGCCGTCTCACTACTTTTCTTCTCCGTGTCTGCAGACCCACCAAACGGATCAACACCACCAAACATAGAAACAGCACCAACAGGCTTTTTTGGTTTGGGCTTCTCAGTGACTGCGGGTTTCTCTACCCGAGGTGGCTCTTCTGCTGTTGGTTTTGCAGCAATAGAAGGCGTTGGTTTGGACCCTGAGAATAGGTCTTCATCATCATCACTAAATAAGCTCGGTCCAGGTTTCTCTTTTACTGTTGGTGGAGAGGGACTGGTAGGTAATGGTGGCGGCTGGGGTTTACTGAAGAAGCCATCGTCATCACTGTCATTGTCTACCAATGGCGGAGAAGTCTTGGCTTTGGGCTCTGGTATCTTCACTATTGTAAATTAGAGATAGCGATAAGTTGTTATAGCTAGATGCAAGAGAAAATGAAGACGTGCAAACTCCACGCCCAATTATGAGCACTCTTTGATGCCATTTTGAAAATCATTCATTTGATCATTACGTTTTTTTTTTCTGCAAGCGTGCGCTATTTGATCTTGTTTTCTTGTGTTCTTCAATAGAAAAGGAGTAAACAGCGTAGAGCGCGAGCAGGGTGCCCGTGCAGAAAAGCAAACGATGGAAAAGAGTGATTAAAAAATAGCATCAAACGGTGCCTATGATGGTAACAAGCATGAATACCAAAGATATCCTTCTCTTAGTTCATTTTCTCTTGCTAGACCTTTTTAGCTTGGCATGATGTTTCCTATTTAATACCACGTGTCATTCTCTTGAGAATAAGATTCTTTGTTTGAGTTGCATCCATATTCATGTGTCTTCTCGTGTGCAACCGTTACTAAAACAGACATGMTGCTCTAAGGAAATGACACGTGATCTGAAATGAACCAAAAATTACGTCCAACCTAAAGAGGACTATTATTTACGTTTTTATTTTATTTTCTATTTAACAGCCTTTTCCATTAATCTATCCTTCCTTCCCCGTTGTCGTAAAGTGGTGTTTTAATCACCCCACACGTGTAGCTTTTCAACGCCCTGAGGTCAACAGTATTGAGAAACTCATTTGCTGAACAAAAAGCACTTGCTTGAATCTTAAGGTCGATATCATCTGAGTTACACGTATTTTCAAGAGCTATTAAAAGGCCGTTTTGAGGTCCAAGGGACTTTGTTACAGATGTACTATACCTTGTTTGACGGGGTGCTGTATAGGTTCACTCTCCTTCACGTTTTCTTCATCTTCTGTAAATGACGGCTTTTTGCCGGCAAAGAGATCCACTCCACCAAACAAAGACACCCCACCTACTGGTTTCCATGGTTTCTTGTTCTGTTCTTCTGCTACTTCTTCCTTCTTTTCTTCAACTTTCGGTTTGTCAGTTGCTGTACCACCCCCGAATAAATCATCTTCCTCATCACTGAACAAACTTGGTTTCTTTGTGGATGGTGGTTTACTGGCGGGTGCCTGTTCTTTCTTCTTTTCTTCTGGTTTTGGCTTTGGTTTCTCTGTGGGTTGGCTGCTAAAGAGGTCATCTTCACCATCACTGAACAGACTAGGTTTTTGGTTGGAAGATGGTGCCTTTTTCGCCGATAAAGCTGGTTCTTTGGCCTGCCGATCGTACCAAGTAAAACAAGTTTAGTATGAGGAATGTATGTAMGATTCTCAGGTCAAGATAAGAGACTCCAGATAAAACCTGTACAACGTAAACTCATTTCAACCCTTCATTTAATGACGACTTTTATCAATTCATTGCTTATTGCTTCATTGCTTTCTCCCTACCGACCCCCCCCCCCCCCCCCCCCCCCCCACCCCCCCCCCCCCATCACCACCACAACCACCCCAATTCTCTGCTCTGCTAACTGTGAACCAATTTACTAAAATTAATTGCTCGTACTGACAGCCATTTCTAACCTTCGGAGGAGAAGCAGCTTCAAATATATCGTCACCAGTACCACCAAACATGCCAGCGTCATCTTCTTCATCTGAGAACAGCGATGGCATCTTACTGCTCTTGGGTTTGGTTGTCTGCGATAAGACAATAAATCCAATAAATTTATCCACTGGATAGTCCTATTCACCCTTCGTACAACCGGTCCCTATGGTGAAGGGGTATCATATAGGTGTCTATCTATAAATGGCATATTTCCCTTCATTTGAGGTTTTTATCTGGGTTCTTTAGTTTTCCTCCCTCTGCAAAACCTAAAGCTATATTCCAATTCATTTTTTTTTCTAATTTAGCAGTACCAGGTTAGATAAATATTGAAGTGTTTGTTTGGTTTTACTACCTTGGTTTCTTGCTTGGGTGCGCCATTACTTAATGGTGGTGGTTTACGTGAGGGGGCAGGTGATTCAAACGAAGCAGCCTCATCTTCATCTTCATCATTATCGAATAATCCTCCTGAAACTTTGGCTGCTGGCTTCTTAGATTTCTAAAAGCAAAATAATTATGTAATTATTACTCTGGTACACAAAGGGGATCTTTCTATTGATACCAACACTACTCACTACCCACCCCCACCTCCAAAGTTCAAAGCAATCAATTGTCTCTGCAACTTACCAACACTACTCACCCCCTCCCCCTCCCCCAAAGTTCAAAAGCAATCAATTATCTCTGCAACTAAAGGTAATGCACCAAAGAATCAAGAAAGTTGGGCATGTTTGGCTAGCCATCCTATTTGGAGTTAGGAAATAAAGGTAAAATCTAAAATTAGAGGGGAGTCACCATCCAAACCATCCTCTCCTCTCCTCTCCTCTCCCCTCCCCTCCTCTCCCCTCCCCTCCCCTCCCCTCACTCCTCTCCTCCTCACAAAAAAATAATCCTTGATTCGCAAGTGAATGCTCTTACCTCAACTATAGCAGCATTTGGGGTACTCTTTGGTGCAGCACTAAACAGAAACACAACACACAGTCATCATACAGTTTTTTATAGAAGTAATTAAATTATAATTATTAATTTTGTTTTTTGTTTCATTACAAACAATATAAATAATAATTAATGGTTATCATTAATTATATTATTTATCATATTTACATTGTAAAGAAACATCTAAGGCTCAATAACTTTTAGCACTTCCTATACATCGGTTCACTGATCAGACACAAAGCATTCAACCGGGGCTACAAGGTTCAAATTGAAATAATCCTTAAACAGCTTTGAAACCTTACAGCCTCTATTTTACTGACTTGTGTGACCAGTGAACCGATTTTTGGAAGGTGGTAAATGCAACAATGTACATCTAAATAGGTCCATCTCCCTTGGGTAAGAGATTTTTCCAAGGGTAAGAGGGGTTTATAAGAGTATATTTTAATCTTTATGGATTTTGAAACTTTATAGTAGATATRATTTTTTTCCTGGAAGAGCAGGTCTCGTAAAGATGGCAGTGGGGTAACCAAGGATCTTGCAGGGGAGGTTCACACAGGCAATGATTTGCAGAACCAAAAAAAAAGGAATAATGGGTGAGTAATTCTTAACAATGCTACAATATGCAGATGGAAAGTGGTCTTGATTTAATCAAAAGACATTTACTTGCAATTTTAATGCAAAAGGAGATAGATGAGCGGATCTCAAGCTTTTATGGGGGGGGGGGAGGTGCACGTGCACCCTGTGCTCCCCCTGGTTACAGCCCTGGATGGGACAAGGGAATAAGGTAACCACATTTATTTAGCTGAACAACTATGATCTTGGACAATGAAATATATATTCATGGGAAATGATAATTTGCCAAATTTTCCAATCACACCTTTTCTTTGCTATTTCACATAATCATTTTGAAATTCAATAAAATAAATTGATCCAAATTATTCAATCCAATATCAGGCCAGTCTCTAGGTGTGGTTCGATGGTTTGAACCAACCCCCCACTCTCCACCTTTTTAGGAGTACGCAAAAATGTTTATGCTAAGAGGTAATGCTATTTTAGTTTTTCGAGAAATGGCACAACTAAGATTGGTAGAAAAATGAACCTCCCCTTTCAAGGTCCTAGCGACAGGCCTGATTACTATCCCAAAATGTTGAGTACCTTGGTTTAGGAGCAGCAAAAAAGTCATCATCCTCATCTTGTTCATCATCATCAAACAAACTAATAGTAGTTTTACTCTTGGGTCTAGTTTGTGGTTCTGTATTAGAAGGCTGTGGTTTGGATGCACTAGGGGAAAATAGTCCTTCAGGTTCTGCTTCATCCTCATCACTAAACAATCCCCCTCCTGATTTGGGTTTGGAAGCTTGTTGTTCAGGGGGAGGCTTGGGCGAGGGTTGAACCTGCAAGTAGGAAGTGTACATAAAATAAAAGTTGGGTTTGATCCTTTGATTTTATATTCAAAATCAAAATTAAAGTTATTTATACCTTGCCAAGAGGTGGCGTCTGGCCTCCAAACATTGACACAGCTCCTGCTGGAATCTTGAGAACAAACATTCAATTATTTTTTTTGTAGTTTTAACACTACAATAATATTCTGTAAGGCATTTATATAAGTATACGTTCTCAGGAGAACTTCTGATATTTATCTGCCACTTAACACTTAAAGCCCTGGCTGAATGACGAAATGTTTCCAGGAACATGCTTACTGCTCAATATTGCTCTTTGATGTTTCAAAGTTTAGCCATGTATGGAACATTGTTGGAGCATAAAAAATTTTGCATAACAAGAGAAGAAAAATATGTTTCTGCAGTACAGCAAAACCATTTCATGTTTTTACTCCACATGGAAACATTGTGACACTAACTTGTTTCCCAATGTTTCCTGACATCTTAGCCACCTTGGGAAACAGTTAACAAAACATGTTTATGGAAACATGTTTGGCAAGGATTTAATTATCCTTCCCTTTCTTTTTTCCTTCTGTTTCTTTCCTCTCCCCTCCCATTTCTCCTATAGGCAGAACTATGGCAAGTCATATAGAAACTGAGATCTATGTAAAAGGTTTTACCTTCTTTTTGGGAGCTTGTGCGGCTGGCTTGCTAGAGAACAAACCATCACCTTCATCTTCCTCTTCATCATCTCCACCAAACAAGTCAACTGTCTTGGAGGGTTTTTTGGTAACAGGCTTGGATGGTTCTAAGGATACAAGATGACAAATCCCCATTTATCTAGTGCACATGAAGAGGTACCTGACCCTAAGTATTACTAGGTTGTTCTAGCCACAATTTCATACTGTACAGTAGCTTAGTCCAAGGCATATTTATAGGACGGTTTTCAAATTTATTATGGTGAATCCATGAAGATACTTTTCTGAACAATCCTCAATTCTTGCAATCATTCTGTTTCGTAGGGCCCAGGGGYGAGTGAAAGTGAGTAGTTGAGAGAGAGGAGTTGACTGTTATACGGAAGGAGATCGAGACTGTCCTAGAATCCCCTCGGGACAGCCATAAAAATGTGTAAGTAATTGTTTGAGTTTGTTAGAAGTTTGTTGACATTTTGATGACTATAACTTTTTGATTCTACAGCGAATCGTGTATCTTTGTGAACCTATATTCGTGTGAACGTGTAAACGATTACGAAGGAAATATGTGATTGATGGACGAACCACGTTGAATGAAACCTTTGAAAATACATGCATCTCGACCTAGTCCYGAGGCAGAGCCCTGAAAACCCCTACACATTCTTTAATAAAACTTTGAAGTTACAAAAAATTAATTTGCTTCTATCAGCATCTCTGACAGATTCTTGGAGTCAAATTGAATTTATCAGTCAACTTTAGTAGAGTCATCATTTTGGAATAGAATGGGCCAATTCTGGTGTATCTGCAAACCCAAGCATTAGGTGTCAATTTTATCTAGGTACATGTATCATTATTTTACTACTACTTTTTGTACTATGGTTTGTGAAGTTATAATTATTATTTGTGTGGTATGTACCTTCTGATTTCTTATTGCCACCAAACAAACCTTCATCTTCATCCTCATCAAACAGCCCCCCTCCTCCTCCTAATTCTTGCTTGGCTGCTTTTATTGTTGGCTTGTCATCAGGTATTGAAGACTATTAACAAATAATACCAAGCCATTCAAACAAATAGAGAAGAAATTTGGGATAAAAAAAAAAAATCGATGACTGGGAAAAATAACAAATGGGTGAAATAACAGTTAATAGACAACACAAGTGAGAAAAAACCATTACRTTTAAATTTTAAAACAAAGATAATAGATGAGTACGAAAATCCTTACCTGACTTGTCAGTGAAGAAGAAAGAAGTCCGTCTGTGGAAAATATGTAACAAATACTTTAATAACTGAATACAAAATGGATACAATAATTTTTAAAAATTAAAAAGTGGGGGAGCAGGGCTTAATTGGATATTATGGCAGACATGTATACTGTAAATAGGACTAAAAGTCATGTCATAAAGTATGGATCACAATAACGTGTAGCAACTATTTTATTTTTTTATTTTTTTAGACATTGATTTATACAATAATTAGGTACTGTAAAAAATCATGCTGCCAATTACCTCCAAATATTGACACAGCCCCTGCAGGTAGCTTCTTTCCACTAGCTGTACTCCTAGCTCTTGGCTTGATAACACTGACCACTTCTTCTTCCTCTTCCTCTGTCAGATGAAAGTAAAGTTTTAAGAAGTATACATATGTAACAGCAACTGCATACAGCACTGGAACTATCACTGTTTCCAGTCCATATCAAGCTCCATACATTAGTGTCAAAGTTGGAGTTGAGAAAGGTCACTCCATATATGGAATCATATAATTCCATATTTGGATTGCGGGTCTTTACCCTGAGGTCAAAGATGGTGGACAAGCGTGTTCGTCGGCTGGCGAAATGGCTGAGAGACATTTACAAGCTTGGHGAAGAYGAAAAACTACAAAAAACTACAAAAACTACGAAAAAAACAAGCTTCTCCCCAGTTCCTTTTTTTAAGACTGGGAAAGAGAGCTTTGACACTCATTGTTTGATATGTCACAAAATTGGTTTTGCCTGAACCAGAATCACCTGGTAGAACACATTTGATTAAAAACATATTGTAATGATAATGTCTTAGTATTTATTAACCAAAGATCAATATTGACTCATTAGACAAATGAATGTAAGCTCTTTGGGGACTTTGCATGTTTGAATAAAAACAATAATTAATTAACACACTTCAATTTTTTGTTTGATAACAATTTGATCTCATGTTGGCCAAATACATGAGTAATTCATCTGAACAAAAATGACAGTTTATATTTATCATGTCAATATTCTCCATGTGTAATATATATATATATATATATATCTTCATTCATAATTTCTTTTAATTCATTGTGATTACAAGGCCTAATGTAAATGAAGGAAATAAAGACTACAGATGCAATCATAAAAAAGGTTGTACCAAGATAGCCATAGGATATAAAGTTAGCTTTAATAACATTGAAAGTGTAGAACTAGAAATCATCTACATTATAATTTGGTAAGATATAAATGGTTGATGATTAAATCAGAACAAATATTATAAAAATATCAAAATGTTTGATCAATAGTAGCAATTTACCGTGATCAGAAGGTTCTTTTATACTGGGAGTCTCCTTTTTCTCATCACCAAACAGGTCACCATCCTGCAGGAAATAACCAAAATACCTCTTAAACCAGTTAAAATTATACAACATAATTTACACAAATAATTTCTCAGCAATAATTTTCACCTCCACTATGCTAGGCGGAGGTTCGTGGTCCTGCGAGACTATTTCTTCACTCATGTTTTAAAAGTAAATTTGAAAAGGATTGTGTAGACTTTGTTGACCTAAGTTAATTTCCTGTCAGGAACTAAAATTCTTGACATAGAAACATGATAATGTTCTGAGTTAAGTCCAGACGGGAATAGAAGCAGAACGACAGACTGTTACCAAATGAGTTATCAAACCTTGAACTATCATTTTACGTGATTTTCAGTACACCTCATTTTCAATTGATAAATAATTTTGAATATGATGAAGTATGCAAAATTTGCAACATTCAAAAGAGATCGACATGAAATCAATAATTTCTTTTTCTGTTTGGTATCCTAAAAATCTGGCATTCTGATTGGCTATTGGAGTGAACGGTATTTTCTATCTCTGACTGCAGAGATATTCATTTATTTCCTTAGCATCCATCTATTTATTCATTCATTCATTCCTTTATTTATTTATTCACTTATTTACTTATTTATTCATTTATCCATTCTTAATATCCATTCTTCATGCTGTTCACTGACACTCATTTCATTAAATATTAATATATTCTATCGCACATCATTGATATGATAAATACTACTAGTACCTTAGATGCATCATCATCAAACAGACCCCCTCCACCACTGAACAAGCCTCCTTTCTTGGTAAAAGGACTTGCCTCTGAACCAAAYAAGCCATCATCTTCCACACTTGGCTGGCCGAAAAGGTCTATGAAAAATGATGGTAAAACAATAAGATTCAATTTATTTTCACAGGAAAAATGTTTTTGCATGAATTTTTACCACCCAAACAAATGCTACATTACTACTGTTAAATAAGTTTTTATGTTACTGCTTTGACAATTCCCTTAAGTAGTGAACAGACGTCAACACCTGGAGACTAAACCATAGTTTACAGTGAACCAYGACTTTAGGCCAGTTTGGTTCAGGCAACTGAGCTCTTGGGTAACTTCATCTTAATTCTTTCATAGTGATCCCATCACACCCCCTCTCCTCTCACAAACCTATACCACCTTCCTGGTACAGAAAATTTTTATAGTTCTACTCACCTTCTTCATTATTACTAACTTTACTTGTCTTGCTGTCATGCCGTTTTCTACCTTTGTGGCTATCCTTTGTCCCAGAGCGTCCCTTCTTATGATGCTTGTCCTTCTTGTCTTTTGTCTTGCTTGCAGTGCTGCTACGACTGTCTGATCTTTTCTTTTCAGCAGTTTTCTGTGGTGGTTTTGGGGTGTCTTCATCACTGAAGGCACCATGCTCTTCGTCTTCTTCGTCACTGTCCTTTGGTTGCGGGGGAGGGGCTACTCCTATTTTAGCTGCTAGTTCTGCTGCAAATCCTAATGCTTGAGGCTAGATGAAGACATAACATGTGACAATTGATGAGTAATAACTTGTTTTAATATTAATGCGTGACATCATTTATGTATGACAAAATAATGAGCAGAAACTGGTAAAGAGTAAATAGTATATGTAGTAGTAATGATGAAAAGGTAAATTATACACCGTGAAAAAGAGACTCCGACAAAGGACTAGTATCCGAAACATCAGTTTTTTCATCTTTTTCACGGTGTATAATTTACCTTTTCATCATTACTGTTTCATTAGAAACACCGACGCAGCTCACACTAGTCTTTAGCTGGTTACATCTTCTAGTATATGTAGTGTAGATGAGGGCTTGCTGGTGCAGTGGTTAGCGATTCTGACTTTCAATTCGAAGCTCAGTGGTTTGAGGGGTAGAATTCATAAGGTGTAAAAACCTTAGGTTTCTACATTGGGGACTGTGAATCCCTCATGGCTCAGATAGAGAGGTTAAATGAAGGCCTCATCTCATTTTTAGGGGCATAATAAAACCAGTTAGGATGCAAATGAACCAACCAAAACATTTGTAAGAAAGATAAAAAAGTATTAAAATAATTTAACAATTAATAATAACCTTTTTTTGTGGCTTCTCGTCTTCACTTTCAGCACTTGCGTCTCCTTCTTCTGATTCTGATTCTGAGTCTTTCTGCTTTTTAGTTTTCTTTTCACCAAACAAGTCCTCGTCTTCTGAACTAGAAAACTCAATTTCCTATTAAAAAATTATAAGTTGTGTAATTTTAGTAGCTTTTGATGGAAATATATTTTGTTCTTTAAAAAAAACACTAATAATGATGATGATTAGGCTGGTCTAGGGAAACAATAACCTCACAATCATCATCATCATCATAAAGATCATCATCATAAAGATCATCATCATCATTATCATCATCATCAACATCAGCACTACTACCCTACCACTATCGGCACTATCAGCACTTCTTCATCAACATCACTACACACCACCACTTAAATCAGCTGCATCATCATCAGCACCACCAATCCACCATCACCAGCACCATCAGTAGCATCATCACCACCACAATCACTTCCATTATCTTTATCATCATCATCAACATCACCATCATCAACATCATGATTGTTATCCTCATCCATATATTATTTCTTGCAATAGCAAAAATATGTTTTGAAAAACAAATTCCTTGTTGAAAAACTTTGTGATCAGCAATAATTAATATGTACCTTTTTCTTTGGTTTGGATGTTTTGATTTTTTCTCTGGGTACATCTGAATCACTTTCTGACTCACTTGCTGAAGACTGAGGAAATGTTCAAAGGAAAAAACAATATCTAAGCAGCCTTAAAGATTTCATTGCCCAAATGAAAGAATATTGTTTTGCTGACAAGATGTTTGCTGTAAAACCCATTTTACTGTACATGTATACACAATATTAGTAACATTCTCTGACCCTTAATGAAACCCCTGCCCAACACCTTCATTTTTGAGGATATTTATATATACATAATATTATTATGGTACTCTACCTCACTGGTTGATTCTTCACTCTCAGAAGCTGATGATTTAGATTCACTCTCAGACTCACTGGATTTCTCTTCTTCTTCTTCATCAGCAGCCTCTTCTGCAAAAGAATTAATAGAAAATTATTCTTTAATAGGGACATTTTCACATCAACTATCTAAATAATACTGGATATTGTACTCTCAACTCAATGTTTGGCTATCTTTCCATTCATCCATCCATCCATAATCTGCCCATACATTCATCCATCTATCCATCCAACCATGCACCCACCCACCTATCCACCACCCACTAATCCACCTACCACCCACCCATCTACACATCCATCTACACATCCATCTACACATCCATCTACGAATCCATCCACACATCCAACCCACCCATCCATCCCTTATCAGGGTGCTACACTGACATGCACCAACCTTCAGACTCTGATTCTCCCAGCCCAATAAGATCATCTTGGTAGAAGTCTCGTGAACCAATGAGATGAGGTAAAGGACGATGAGAATACATGTCCTACAATAATTCAAATGGATAAACATGGATGTTAAGATGGGAAATGGGAAGTACATAAGGTCAAAAATAGCAAAACAAAATTATACTAGTTTGTTGATTTCTTCAATTCTTTAAATTCATTAATTTGGGCAAACAGTTGTATTACTAAAGCAATACCATGAAGAAATTTGTCATTCATGATTGTTTGTAATTCAGAATATTTTGGTCAGGAGTTGAAGGTCACTAGATGAAGATGGTCATCGGATGATGACAAAAATATTCTGAATTATATTAAACAATCAACAACAAATTCCTTCAGATCGTCATTGCTTTCTTAATTCCAGTAACATGTTTTACCTTAGGTTCTAATATTGGTTGTGGATTATATCTAGTTTGTACATTTTCATCTTCATCCTCATCAGAATCTGAGAAAATTAAAAAAATGATAATGTACTCAAATGCTTATTGCAACATCTTGAGTCACCTTTTAATTCCACCTTTTAATTAACCATTTCAAAAAACTTGGTCGAGTTGGCATTACAGTTCATTGTGGAGGCTCTGTTAGGGCGAATTTTGACAAGCGACATGGCATTGAAATTGCAAAACGAGAGCCACAAACTAGCAGTGAATGACAGACTGCTCTAATGAATTACCGACAGCTAGGCCAAGTTAGGGGTAAATTCTAACAGTGATACAAGAACTTTGTGAAAATGCAACATGGACAGATGTGAAATTCAGACCTAGGACATGGGTACCCCTCCCCCCTAATAGGGCCTCATGGCAAGGACTGTTTTAGGGGGCTTAATAGACGTCATCATGACAATATGTTCCCTAACAGTCTGACAATTTATTGCATTGCCAACCTTTGAAAGGCTAATGACGGCCAGCATCTAATACTGTAGAATGTACAGTGTACGTATCTATAATAAACATACCATGTTCAGTTTTGAGTTCAATAGTTATAAATGCATCATTCAACACATTGATGCCATGTTTCAATGCCTCTGTTATTCTTGGAATGATATCTTTTTCTTGTTGTTCTCTTGATTTTTCCTGCAAAAGTTCACATCAACAATGCCTTAATGACAAAATACATAAAGTACTTTGCTAGCTCTTATTTTTCAGTATACAATTAATTTATTACTTGTTATCCCAATAAATTTAYCCACAAAATTTATGACAAGTTTTTTTTACTCAACATTTCCATGCCTACAGGCATCATTCTCAAGAGAGACAAAGCATCAAAACATCAAGTAAAAGGAATCCAGTAAAAGATACCTTGTCGTCATAAACTTTGTAATTCCAAAAGCCTAGTAACCATCATATGAAACACAAGGTTCTGTTCTACCTTAGTTTGAGTTTCATCTTCCTTTTTATCCTCTTCTTCTTTAGATACATCTTCTTCATAAACTCTCTGTTGAGGTAAAATGATTGAATTAATGAGTTTCATATTTTTATTGMAACTGGGGAATGTTTTTATTTTACTCTGGTCAACTTTTGAAGGGTTTTGTGACACCTCAATTGCAATACTTCTCATTTCTACTTCACAATTTCAGATCAGATGCAATACAGGTTTTTGCCAATATGACAATATATAATAATTATATATAAGCATACTTACATTTTCAATGAACTGTACATTAGACAGCATAAGAAAATCATTTACTGTATTCTGGACTTTGGAGTGTACCCCCTGTCAGAAGATAACCAACCAATGAGAATTCATGTTAACAGAGGTGAATAATATAAAGCAACAATACRAGTATGAAAAGGATTTTTCAAAAATAAATATATACTGGTATTACTGTACAGATACACTAACCAGGACCACTGGACCAAAATGAAGATAAAAGAAACTTAAGCCAATCAGAAGAAAGCAAAATTAGTATCATATTGACTGCAGGCAATCACAATCTCTCACTCCTAAGGTTCTTGATAACATCTAAGTTTTTCTCAGGTCTAAAGGCTTCGTTGCTTGCTCCTGATTGATTGGTTCAAGTTGGACTTAAGTTGATTACTTTGTTTTTATTCTATGTCATGATTGGTTAGCTTTATTCAAGGTGGTAGTGTGTCTGCACAGTAATAATCAGAGTTGATAGTGTACATTAAAAGAGAAAAGTTTTAAGGTATTACTTGAGGAGACAAACCTTAGTGTTATTTACAAGACCATCAACTTGTTTTTCTATTTCATGAGTTTGTGAAACCATCTTCTGTGAGAACTGTTGCAGGTATAATAACAGCTACAAGAAAATACATCCAAAAAAGTTGAATAACATTATGAATAATCCATAATGTATACTACTGTGATATAAACTTACTTCAAGCAAGGATTGTTAGAACCCTAAAAGGCAGTAGGTAAAAGGAGATATGCAATAAGTCATTCCAAGATGCAAGAATAGCTGGAATGACTGATCGTCAAGATATTTCAATGTGTTTTTAGTAAACAAAACCATTTAAAACACTGATTATTTGAGTTGAGATGCATAATTCCTTCCAACTACCTTCTCTGGGTCAGAAAACCTGTTTTGTTATATGTGTATATAGTATATAGTATGGCATATGGTGACACTTGGGACATCAAAGCATAGTTATAACACCATAGCACTCAAATATGCCAATGAAGAAACAGAAAATGTGTGCATGTGGTGTGTGCAGTCATAAAGCTTGTAGGGGTTTGGCACAACACAAGAGTTAGAGGTGAGCATCCTTAGTTCTTTCCCCCTTCCTCCCCCCCCTCTCCCTAACTGTCCACACCATTGCACACACACCAAAAAAGATATTTTTAGATGAAGTAAAATAATAAAATAATTGTATAGTTTTTTCTAAGTCAGTTCTAATGGAGATATGTTATGGTTAACACGAATGGGAAGAATTTTAATCAAAGCACTGGGATCAARCATCAGCTTAAGATTATGTTGTATGTAGGGACCATAGCAATATCGATGGGATCAACGCTACTACTGTACAGTAGCTACGGTTAAATTTACTGCAAGAAGGTGAAAAGGAGAATTAATTCTATAATTATGGCGTCATTTCTAACCATCGATAAAGTTGGTTATAATTCAACAAATATAAGAACAGTTTAGATTAGAATCTACCCCATAAAAAGCACAAAACAAATGAGTTTACTCCTGCAGAATCGAAATTTCGAAACAAAAATAAAAACAATAACAGAATATTTGATGGCAGTATCATCGGTCTTAAGGCTATAGGAAAAACATTAACTAAATTAGAGAAATCGAAGCTAAAGAAAAGAGGATAAAATCCTTACGCGAAAAAACACTTTGGAAAACCTAGGAGATGTCACCAAAATATTAAAATATTTCTACCTTCAAGCAACATCATACTACTCAATATAAGCTTGCCAAATAATCTAGATAAATAGTAGTTGAGGCAGAAATAAAAACTACGGAAGATCAAGTCAACAAACCAAAGTTCCAAAACTTTCAACTAACCCCCGCGTCTGCAGCAAGGTTCCATTTTGTCGTTCCTTTCCGCAGTTCTTGTATAGTCCATGGTCTTTCCCATATTTTTTCTCCGTTATTTCCAGAGGAATTGGCCTGAGGTTGTGGTTGAGCGTTCTGCGGTTGTTGCTCTGTGCTGACAGGGACACTAGGTGGTGCTGGAGGGGCTGGAGGAGCGGGGATATCTCCTAGAGGCGGAGGTGGTGGTGGTGGCGGTGGAGGTGGAGGCGCCATCTTGGAATATTGAGGAAGTAGGAATCACGTGATGATAAGAGATATTCTTGGAACAGGAAGCCCAACTCATTAAAATAACGAAAAAGACTGATCTTTTTCTCATTGTTTTACACGACTTGTTGTCAGGTCTAAAGCAGGGTTTGCAACGGTTTTTCAATTTTCCATCCTGCCTTTTTTTGGTCGTTTCTTCCTTCCTCAAAATCCCCCTCCCTTTCCCCCTAAACTTTCCTCTTCGCTCTTATAGGCGTTCACTGGGTTGCCTGTATCATGCACAGAGGCCTAGTACAGCTGAAAAAGTTTGCAATGTTAGCCAAAAGATAATGGAATGAACACAGAAAAGAATGATCCCGTTAACTCGTCTAAGACGATCTTCTCCCTTAAGGTGTTCTCTACATAAAATTAAAATAATTGCAGGTTCTGCAGTTTGTAGGTCATAAAATAAACAGTTTGCGTTATGCATGTCATACTACTTGTGAATTTGATCTTGCGCCACGACGCAACAAGATCAAATATCCCAATGTTCTTAGTCAGAATCACCAATTAATTTTCTTATCTTTTTACCATCCTCTGTTATTACATCATTTACTGGGGTGGTTGTTAATTTTTCTTGTCAGAAAATGCAGAAATTGCGCAATAGTACCCAGAAGTCTTCATGAGATCCAACGGCAGTAAACTTCTTGTCGGCAAACTTTGCCAGGAAAGATAGGAAAGCATAGCTCTACTTTTCGCGAATCGATATCTTGTATGACTGATAACGTCTGATCGAACCAATACAGGCTTATAAGCAACCGACTAGGAATAAATCCTTTTTCACTAAAAAGATTGCTTTATTGTTGAAGATTTAAATCTAATAAAAAATAAATAAATTTTAAAAAAAGATTTAAAAAAAGAAAAATCTCATGTGGATACGATGGGGTTCGAACTAACCGAAAGAAATAAAAAAAATCGATTCTAATTTGCCATACCCCCGAGACATCCGCAGAGCTGAGGCGTCGTATGGACTTCGGACCTGACGGCGATTAAATCCTTCTGCCCTTGGGTGTACGAATTACGCAAGAAAATGTTCTAGCCGAAGCATCAGGGGAGAGACCAGCCGTCCCCCAGACCATATCGGCTAATCCCTTGCATCTCTGCCACGCACGGAATCGGTTGAAAACATAATGTCAAAAAGTCTAGTCTATTTGGTGCATTGTTTTCACGGCTATTGTTATGCTGATTCACCTGGAACCGTAGTCCAGTGGATAAGTCGTTGTCGTTCAAGATACTGAGTCAAGCTCGTCTCAGGAAGGTTAGCATTTGGATGGGTGACCTAAACATTATACCTACTAATGCTTTCTTTTTTTTTATTTTTTATTTTTTTATTTTTAATATAATAAAATATAGAATAGTGAAACTTTTCTATTTTTGAGTGACCGGCCTATTGCTGTCTAGCCACATCCATCAAATAGTGAAATCTAGTTAAGGAAAATCCCTGAAAAACTGAGCCTTGAATTTCAGCAACTAAAGGAAAAAGAATATGCGTAGACATTAATTTCCGAAACGTGATTTGCAGCCCCACCCCCAATCAATTACTTTGATAAATTAGACATTGATTGACGTCTGTCACGTGAATAGACTTTACAAAGGATCTCTGTATTATATGTCTGCGGAAGACTCTTGAGTAGTCCGCGAAGACCGATGGGTACAATTGCGCAATTTTGGGATTTCTGGCGCAGGAACTATGGAGACACGCAACACATTTTTGTACTGGGCCGCCACAGGCAACCCACTATTATCACAGTTTTTAGTGGCATGGCCTTACTTATGCGGCTGCCATGTTTATTCTCATAAGAATAAAAACCTTTGTTTAACCCGCATAAATTTATTCTCAAGAACTTGAATGCGAGGCCACGTGCGGGAAAATCCATTTTACCTGTCAAAATGAACCCCTCGGCTTAAATTTGTCTTCGTGAGGCTAGCATGGAAATACCAAAGAAATGTCACAAATTCCATTGAGAACAAATGTGATTTCTTTTGTATTTTCCTGTTAGCTTCGAATCCAAGTTCTTTTTGAGAAGGGTCCTTTTTCACTGCGCTTGCCCAATGCTAGTAACAAACACAATCTTGCAAGGTAATTGTTTACTTCTCGTATTTCATCATATATTTTACAGCTACTTAAAAATCAACGCATTCAACTCAATTCTGCTATATTTTTAACAAAACAAAACAAAATCTTTTTATTTTAAATAATATCTAATATAGATTTTATCTGCTCGCGTTAATCATTAAATTGCCGGCTTTGTAAGTATAAACGCAACGTACGATGTTCCTTTTCGACTATAATATAAATGATAGTTGTCAGTATTTACATATAATTTGAACAGAGCCTAGAAAAGAGTACATTTCTTATGAGCGGGAAACGTGCAATACGATGACACTCAAATGGTTCCCCCCAGCATCACTTTAATGGTCCCCCATAAAATTGAAATGATTTTCCGGCATGGACCTTCGAATGGTCCACGTTGCTTTTAAATGGCTTTCCGACCCACTGCAACACCCAAATGGTCAACGTGCCACTTAATATAGCTATCCGGCCTTCTGCATGTCAACACTCAAATGGCTTCCCCTCCAGACGATACAAATTGTATTTCGACCCTCTGCAACACTTAATGGGTTTCACCCTCAATAATTTAATAAGCGAGGAAATGCAAACTATCCAATAACAAAGCTTGCATGCGGAAACAATTTTAGAATCAAGGTACTCTGCGTTTCCAGCTCGAACGAAATCTACTCTTATATCCAGTTTGTACTCATATTTAGTATAAGTTTGAATAGCTTTTGAAAGATATTGGTTGAATTTTATATAGCTATATATAAAACAATTTTTAGTTATTTGTCTTCCGAGTTTTTTCTTTGAAAATAAAACTTCATGACACCCTTGGCAAAGTGCACGATAAAACGTACGTTATAAAAATCTTTTTAAATCAAAATAATCAGTTGAGACCAAGGCAGGCGTAAAAAAGAGATGCAGTTGAAAGAGGTCTAATTATTGTTGCACTCAAATGGGTTTGAAGAGAACAGAATCTGATTGGACAAACGAATACCACTCGAAACCAACTGAGCGAACATGTCTAGTGCACTTGAATGGCTTTATATGAAAATAGATTCTGGATGATACAACACCTCATATGGTATCAATCCTGAAATCATTTCCTAAGACAAACCACAACTATCGTACTGAATTTTTCAATTCTATAAAAGGAACCCATCAAGCGCACTTAATTGGGTTTTTAGAAAATGGCGGATTCCGATTGGACGAATCAGTTTCGATAGTTCAAGGTTTGATAACTTAGCTAGCGATAAGAAATTAAAATTCCGGGTTGTGTAGTTTAGCATCTTACACCAGAGGAATGTATGTCATGGGGAAAAAGAAGTTCGCCTAGTCTCGATATCTATATTGTGTAATCTCAAACACGATCTCAAAATATGACTTAACCCTAACAAGTCAAACGTAATTTCCAATGTCCAACTGTTCCTGTGAGCACTCGACGTATGCCCACATCTTGACCCAATTTCATATATCTATATATTTCTGTAAATGTCTCTTTTCGTAGATACACTACGGGCATTATTGCAATAGGGGTACTTTGCGAATGCGCTGCAATTCTTGTTATGACTGGTATATTGACAGTGTCCTTTTTTTTTTTTTTTTTTCATGCCTTTTTCTTTTAACTCGGTTGTGGGTTTCTAGAATGCCCTACTGAATGATGACTTGATCCTACATGATTCATGGAACGTCGTTTGTAGTTTATGCTGCAGACTGAAAAAATAAGACCAGCAAAAAAACATAAATATTGCTGTACAGTAATCATACAATTTAATGCTAAAAATGGTTAGCATCAACTAAACTCATCCAGCTGGACGAGAAAGTCGGCAGCAAGGAGAGAAATGAGGAAGAGAAGATCGAGGAAAAATAGGGAATGAAAGTGAAGAATTCTTGGGAAAAGGAAACATACCAATTCAATAAATTTACTTTTTTTCATTGGAACAAAAATTATCAAACTATGAAAGTTCTGACAAATTCCTCCGAAGGTGGTTTGTAGTTTTCAAAACAAGGACCTGTTATGCGAAGGGTGAATAGCGCTATCCTATTGGTAAATCTTTATATCTTATTTGGTGGGATTTTGTGAATTGTAAATACAAAAATGTATGACCCCTCCTCTCCAACCTGAATTTTTTTTTTCACACGTGCCCCCTATTAAAACAGGATATTTTTTATTATTATAAATTTTCTATTTAGCTAATTATTTTTGGGGTTGCCCTCCTTAAATGCGATATTTTTTCCCGTGCCTCCCCTCCCCAAATCCCACCAGCCCCCCCATGCCCGTAAAAAATGAACGTTCCTTATATAATACTCACATCCCCATCTGAATCCCCCATGGTGCTGGTCTTGACCGTACTAGCTGTACTCGCACTGGTACCACTCGTACTCGACTTACTAGAACTCATGCTAGCGCTGTTATAACCTGAATGAGCATCTTTACTCTGTGGAATCTTCTTCACCACAGCATACTTCTTAGTTACAGGGGTTATGTCCAAGGAATCAGAGCCGATAGCCGAGGTTTTCTTCAGAGGTTGGACTACGATTTGCCCGGGTGGTATCGGAGAATTGGATAAATTTCTCGCTGCCCTTGGGATGGGTCTTCGAGGTTGAGAAGGAACGATCGGTACGGGACTACGTCTAGCAACGTTGGGTATCCCCATGTCTGTAGCCATCTTACTGGCGCCAACAGGAGGGGTACTACCGGTGCTTCCAGCCTCGTTGGGTAACACCCTTCGTGTATACCGAGGGCGTACTCTTACGGGTGGAGTAAATTCGAGATCTCCTTCACTTCCTGTTTCCCATTTATTCCTGTTGCCATTACGAGGACGCTGCGGGTTGATTGTTGGACCACAGGGATCACTGCCATTAGAAACGGAATTGCTACGCTTCCAGCTTCCTGAATATGGCGGAGGATACCCGAGTGAGTCCATCAATCCATAGGTCTCCAAGTTAAAGCCACCGCACTCAGCAGCGGCACGTACAGCGTTAGCAAAGTCTGTATCTGTGAAGAAAGAGCCAGTGCTACTGACTCTACTTGGGCTGGAACAAGATGAGTCTTCGTCGGAGCCACTAGTGTTGGTGACTGAGTCTGCCCACTGCATTATAATATCACTAGTAATGCCCTCAAGATCAATAGGTACAGCCTTAGGAGTCTTAGGTTTCTTGGGTTTACTGGATCTACTTCGCGAAGATCCAGGTACCTTAGGATCTGTAGATGCTACAGATTCGGACACAGCTGAGGATGGAGGCCCAGGCTTCTTTCGTATTTTTTCGGGTATATCATCGCTTAGTCCATTCCCACTACTTATACCAGTTCGTCCAGTCATACCAGTCATTCCAGTTAAACCTGTCATACCACTCATCCCAGTCATGCCACTCATCCCGCTCATACCAGACCGAAGACTAAATGGTGGAGACGGAGGCGGCGACCCTAGGCTGCTTGGAGGTGGGTGTGATGGTGGCGGAGGAAGAAGATCGGCCCAGTTAAGGATAGCTAACCTTGGAGGCGGCTTAAGAACTTTCTTTCTACGGCTTCCACAACTAGACGTCGTTTTGCAGCTTCTTTCACTAAGAGGCGGACTTGGTTGTCGCGGCGCTGGTCTATCACTGAATGGCGGTGCTTGTAGCTTCTCTCTCAGCTCCTCTTTACTCTTGGACGGTTCTTCGTCCTTGTTGTCTCCCAAGGTCATTTCTCGTTGTGTTTCTTCCAGCACAGCTTCGTACGTTGGAGGCGGGTCAGTATGGAAAGTAGAAGCGGCAGGAGGTGTTCCATTACCTGTCATGTCAAATGATTGGATCTTGAGCTTAGGTCTGGTTTTGTCGCTATTGACCGAGTCGTCTGGTGTCTGGTTAGGGTCTTTGGATTGAGACGATGGACTGTCTGGACGAGTGTTAACTTTCTTTCTGTTAATAAACTGTTGTGTTGGGGTAAGGAATGATGTCTGTTGAGGCATGGCTCTGGGTAGAGTATCTTCTGATCCACTGCGTGATCCCATCGAGGCTACAGACAATAAAGAAATACAGACATCATTAGAAACATAGTAAAAGGCATCGAAAACGTTCCACAGTGCCACTTTTTTACGTCTTATCCTTTATTCCCAGACAAAATATTTTATTCACGCTACACTTGGAGGGTAAATGAAAGAAACCCCTGACCATACACAAAGTCGCATAAAGTTTGATCATTTCTAATTCCCTTAGTTCTGACTTAAAATCATTTTGAAGTTGCATTGCAGCTTCAAAATGTATTCTTATCATGTTGAACATGATAAGAATACACTTTCTTAGGTTGGCTCAGCATTGTCCTATTTTGAATTGTGAACTAGTTTTACCGTAGTTAAATTCAGATTCAGATTCAGAAGGCTATATCATTAGACATAACGAAAACGTCATGTTTTTTCCCCAAATCTACGCCTTTCATCCGAAATCCTTACATTCAACATGTAAAAACGCGAAAACCTTAAAGACAATTTTTTCTCTGTTAAGCAGGTTCCTAGCTCACCATACTCTTCACAATCTACCTTGGCAAAGGATTACTAACCTATTTCACCAAACTCATCAAACTTGGTTGACTTGTTCACATGTTCCCTGTACTGGTTTATTGATTGTTGTTGCTGTTGATGTACGTTGTTTGTTTTACCGTCAGAATGTTTAGAGTCTAAGGAACCGCCAAACTGGTTAGGGTCACCCAGACGAGAACCTGGAATATAACAAATAATTGCCATGAATATATCACTATATATAATTGTTTATTATAAAATAACTGTTATAAATCTCGCGTTCTGATTGGTTGGGAGCGTGTGTTTTATGAGAGCACACAGCACGCACGCGCACTTTTAGTTGTGTCATTCCTATCCAAAATAACGGTTATTGAAATTCGTATTTCATGAAAGAAAGCATTTCATTTTATGAAGCACTTGGGAATTGGCAAAACACTCGAGAAGTGTCAATAAAGCACTCCGCTACGCATCGTGCTTCTCCTAACACTTCTCTCGTGTTCTGCCAGCCCCTGCATGCTTTATGACTGCACACAGCACGCGCGTGCGTTTTCTATTTCTTCAACAATAGTTTTAGAAGTATTTAGGAACTGCGCTGCTTTGACGTCATGTACAATGCATCGTGGGATTCTTATCAATTATCTAATGGTCCGTCCCTTATTTCAAATACTTGGCCTAAATTACCTGCTAATGAGTTGATGGTTATTTTATTAGGAAAGTCCACAGTGTTGGTGGACATAACACCTCGTCGAGCACAACAGCTGGTGACAGATCGGTTGATACATTCAGTAGAAGAGGTGTCACTAATGCGATTATTGGCTGGCTGTTGGGAAACCTCATTGGTATGTGGTACGTCATCCATCCAGAGGGTCTTATGACCTTGGGGGCTGGGAGAAAATAGAACAATCATTAGTTAGGTAGAGAGGTGGGGCGGAACAAGATCTTACTCAGTGAAGCAAATTCTTAGCTTTTGGTAGTCAGTCCAGGGACACAAAATGAGAAAGACATGACAGACGGCTATTTGTTTTAGCAAGGGTGGATAGCGCCACTATCAGAAGGATAGATCTTTATCCAGTGGATAAATTTATTGGTTAGTAGCATCGGCTTATCCACTGGATAAGAGTTTGTCTATCGAATAACGCTATCCAACCTTCGTACAACCAAGCCCAGAAGTATAAAATATGTTTGGTACTAACGATAGACGCTTGACAAAAACCAAGATCTAGAACAAAATCATTCGAAAGGGAACTTATAAAGGATATAAATAATTCCTACGATTTCGACTACAAAATCATTACCTTGTTGGAGTCCTTTGTATTTCGGCTATTTGCAGTTTCACTTTAATAAAATCATAATATAAAGTTGTTAGATTATGTAAGGTATTGTGTTACTAATATCAACCTCTTTTTACCGCTTTATAATTTTTTCAGTAAATCCATAATTCAAAGAGGAAAAGTGGCACCTCAGTTTTGCAAATTCTCTCGATTCTGATGGGTTATCATTTTCTCACAGATCAGCTGGCAGCAGAGAAATGCTCGGTTATTTATGAGCACTCCATTTTCTATTTTATTCGGTTGCCATTTTTAACCAACTTTCTTTTTTCACTTACGTCTCTTCTGCTTCAGTTGTCTCCTTTTTCGTCGTCTTCTCCTGTATAACAACAGAACCACAACAAGCAGAAGGATCCACAGGATTCCACCCATGATGGCAATAAACCATGGCTTGCGCACAAACGTCCTGACACTAGACCACGAGTCAGCTCCAGCCGTGTTGGCTTGGACGACCTTGACGCCTTCATCCTTTGCACTGGGCGTACGTCCGCCAAGCAGAACCACTTCTAAAAGTAATGATAGAAGCAACTTATTAATAAGACTGCTAACCTCTCTTCCCCATTTTCATATAGAGAAGCACGCACATTTATTTAAGCATATTTTATGTGCGGTGCTACGATCTTTCTTTTGTTGTTTCCATTTACAATTGGAAACCAACAGTCCCTTTGAATAAAATTGATGGACGGACGGACAGACTGAAATTTTTTTAGGGGTTTCAATGTGTGGACACATGGTCGTCACAGCGTTGCGTCAGTTAGGTTACTCAAAAAATTTGAATAATAATGATTTACACTCTATTTCGCTTTCACGTTTTCTCGACGTATGAACTCATTCACCCCCAAAAAAACAAAACAAAACAAAACAAAAAATCAATCAAACTAATGTTTTTTAAATTAACTAAAATATCTAAATTTGGCATTTTCAAAATAATGAAATAAATAGGGTTTTCCGATTTAGTGACCTTTTCGTCGATTTGGCAATATCTTTATTGCCATGCATTGTCTTTTTTTCTAAGTATTTCATAACAATAGAATTCGGAAAGAATAGAGGCGAGAAAAATTAACTTTCAGCATCGTTACCGCGATAAATTATAAATTATCCCGGGGGGGGGGGGTACTTGAACCAGTTTCTGACGGAGGGGTTCCGCTGATGCCTATAAACACTGACCCTATATTTAAGACAGCAAAATCTTGAAAATCCGGCATACCCTATTCAAGACAAATTGGCAAAATGTAGACCCTATCGAAGGCTCAAGGGGAATTTGTATACCCTATGTAAGACATTCAACTATAATTACTCTAGAACCATCATAAATGAATTGTGCGTAATTTTGTGGAGTATTATGCTATGAATGAGATTTTGAGAAGAAAAAGAACGTGTGATTGTTCGTAATGAATTAATCAATTCCTTTAGAATTCTAAACACGTTGCTCGAGCTCAGTACGCATTATCAAGGGTGAAAGGTGAAATTTGAGAAGAAAAAGTGTTTTTGTTTTTGCCTTTCTGTCTGATCTAACAATCCCTTAATTAATTAATYAATGCCTTTAGAATTATAGACACAGTTTTCTCGAACTCGTCATGACCATCCTTTTTTGAAAAGAACCTGTGAAGTATTCACGCTATGAGTATATAAATATGCCCAAAGTTTGAGAATGGCCACATTGACTTCAATCCGCATAAAAGTACTCTAGATGGAAGAAGACARTATTTTTCTACGAGCTGCTCTCACCAAAGAACTTCAAGAAGTTCCATGCCCGAGTTCAAGCACTTTCCCTACTGCGAGTACCATGTCTTTGCAGCAACGACCCAAGCCAAAGCAAAAGCAAAAAAAGAGAAGTACACCAGTAGAGTTAATGCTAATTGGGAAAGGAATGAAAAAGTACGGAAGAGATTTAAAAGCCGTGGTTAGTTTCATGCAGAAACATTCATAGGTACTCGGGGACCAGCTACGAGATTACTACCAGAATATTGGAACACCAGAAGGGCCAAGCACAARAAAAGCTATGGCRAGAGTTCGMAARATTGCTAAGAAGTCTTTATACAAAGCAAGGTGATTTTGAAAAAAATTTTGAAATTCAGGTTCTTCTAAAAAATAAAATTTTAACGTTTATCTATTTTCTCTTTAGTGATTCTCGGCATGTACAAGAAGCTTCGACTGTTGCATCCACCAGTAAAGCARTTAAGACTAGCGCCGAGCAAGAATTTAATAGTAGCGAAAGTGAGTTTGATATCGATAGTGACAGCGATTGGAAAGTCACCGAGAACGATATATTTAAAAAAGATACGCAATATACAAACATCCAAGCATCTCAATCCAGAGAGGAAATTTTGAGTGCTGTCAAGAATGGTGATGATGCAAAAGACCAAGCTGATGCAAAATCGAAGAGGAAGAAAAGCCAAAGGTACGGTAAAGTCGTGTTTCTTGATGCTGGTAGCGAATGTCACATAATTGACTATAACTTTCCTGCTTTTTTTTTATACTTTGTATTCAACAGGGGAAAACAGACAGCTAAATCGAAAATGTCGAGTATTTTAGAGTCCCTTCCTGCCCTCATACAGAATGCAAACTCGGCAGCCAAAGACCATAGCAAGGCCGTGAAGACATGGATGCAAATAGATAGTTCAGACTCAGATTAACCATTCATTTYTTTCATGTGTTCTTAACTAACCTATTTAAAAGTCTTGAAAAGAAAGATGAATTAAAAATTGATTTAGAATTAGAATACGCGTACGATTGTTCTTTGATTTTATTGAGATTGTGTAGTTYCAGAAATTATCCATACCCCTATGGAGGAGGTTTTTTAAATACGTAGTACCCAACCGGAAATTCCAATTTTCTTCCATACAAACTCTGTAATTTTGTTCTTTCTTTGAGCCCCCTCTCCTCAGAAATATTAAATTCCTCTTCGAGGGGGTAAGGGGTGGGGTGGGGTGAGGGTATGGATAATTTCTGAAACTACACATTCCAAATCAGTTTAAAAAAGGTTTGATCGAATTCGCATTTAAATTATTGTTCAGTATTTGTGTAAATTCTGAAATCCTTAAATAATTTTATTGATACCAATAGTACACGATATGAAATAAAATATATTGTTTATAGACCAAACTGCAAAGAATGTAAGGCTGAATAACTACGAGATTCATAAAAGTCAAAACCTCTGTATATATCTTCGATCTCGCTAGCTCTACATGTGTTTTCAATCGGCCGTTGACGTCAACTGCTATAGGCCGTTTGGATTGATTTAGGTATTGCTAGTCATAAAAAAAATCCCATTGTTTTAATTTGTACTGTTAGATTACTAGTATTTCGACAAGCAAGAAGCATTTCTTAATAAAATGTCATGTATATAAAATATTTTCTTTTTCTCACTAAATTCTTTGTTTTTTAATTATATTACATCTCCAATTGACTGTCACTTAGCGTACTTAGTGTAAGGATCGCCGATGGTATTCTGGAATAAAAGGTCACTAAATCGGAAAACCCTAATAGGACGTTTGCATGATGGTGTCATTTGACTCCCACTAATGGAATCCATTGCACACTTCTTTTGTTCAGTTCATTAGCACTAATTGTCTAAGTATTATTCTCACGAGGGAATAAAAATTTGAATAAGAAAGAAAATTCGCAAAACATCTTGGTAGTGGGATTAAAATGACGCCATCATGCGAACGTCCTACTGTATCATTTTTAAGTCTTCTGCCATGCGTAGTAGGTGTTTATCGACATCAATCATAAATATTCAAAGGGCATCCCACATGTCAGAGTGTGTATAGACGGTAGTGGTCGACTTGAGAATCAAGATTTCTTTACTCTGGTTTCCCTTCAGATCGCATAAATCTTTCGCCTTTTACTAAAGATTTCCGTGGAGGGGAACAACTCAATGAGTCTATAGGCTAATTTTTTGTTGCCCTGCCTTATCGGCGGGGCTTCTTATCAAATTAAAATAATTTTACACGTCTTTTCCTGTATTTCGAGAAGAGGTTTTCAGTGTACTCAGAATGGGAAACCAAGACGAGAAATCTGATAATGCTTTGCAACAAAAAAACTTTTGATCATACTAAAACGTTAGGAGTCAGTTTAAACATTTTCTCGATTCCAAAAAGCATCGTAGGCTATTATCGATGAGGTATCCGTGCGAAAATTTAATGACAACCTTTTCAAGTGCAAGAAAGAAACGCAAAGTCTTAGATTATAATTGATTAATAGCCCCGCCACTAAGGCAGTCGAACTCTACCATCTAGACACTCTTTGACATGGGGGATGTCGCTTAATATGGATGAAACGTATTGAAAAATTAGTGCGCATGTCTTTTTAAGCTTCCGCTCTCAACCAATCAGAAAACAAGAAAAAACACATTGTCCAATCACAACCCGAAGCTGAAACATAAAAGCTATTTAAGTGCAAATATGGAGATAGCAAGGGTGGAGTGGTTGATCAAGATTTTTGTTTAGCGGAGAACGTAAAATAAAGAGAATGAGTCAAACTTTCCTTTTACTTTTGCTAATCTCTAATACTGACATATAATTTTGATCTTGTCTTTTATCTTTCTCTGTTTTTTAAATTGGTCTGCCTGTTGTGACTTTGTGCTCCTAAAGTCCTCTCTGTTTGAGTGGAACATAGTATTCCAATATTGGGAGAACATTGTTTTGCTGGTTTATCATTGGTACATCTTTTGATATTCCAGTGTTGGAATGTTTGAGTGGAACATAGTATTCCAATATTGGGAAGTCTATTTTGCTGCTTTATCATTGGTACATCTTTTGATATTCCAGTGTTGGAATGTTTGAGTGGAACATAGTATTGCAATATTGGGAAGTCTATTTTGCTGGTTTATCATTGGTATATCTTTTTGATAATCCAGTGTTGGAATGTTTGAGTGGAACATAGTATTCCAATATTAGGAAAACATTGTTTTGCTGGTTTATCATTGGCATATCTTTTGATAATCCAGTGTTAGAATGTTTGAGTGGAACATAGTATTCCAATATTGGGAAGTCTATTTTGCT